CCACATCCCAGGCCGCAGCCTGATGTTCCGCCGAGTCGTGACCCAGCTCCTCAGGATATGGCCCAAGCTCCGTCAGAAACCCCTCCGGGTCCATCAGGCGCCTGGGACGGAACCATCTAGGCGGTTCCGTCTCCCTGCGGCGAGGGGCAGCGGTCCGGAAGTCCATCCTAAGGAGTGCGTGATCTGACCATGACAAAGGTCTGACCATGACAAATCTTGACAACCTCAACTCCACAACTTAAAGTTGTCAAGGTTAAGAAACACTGGTTTAGATATTCAGAAGTAGATGAAGTTGTGTAACCTTGAAATTAAAGTCAGTAGACTACCGGCCATCAGCATTATGGGGAGTATTGTGTGAAGGATAATAAAATAAATGGGGATATAAAAGTGCAAAAGGAGATACACTTTAAACGAACAGTACATACCACCTGCCTTTCTTGTCTCCTTCCTTTATCAGAAACTATTTGGAAGCACTTACTGCAACATTGCGGATCTGAGGCCCTGCAAACCATCGCAGTTGTTCTAGGATTGCTTGGAAGACCTCTATTCGGTAAGAAGGAAACTTGTCCACTGCTTTCCTGAGTTCCTCTTCCACACAGCTCAGGCTACAGGAGGCACCGAATCTGATTCCTGTAAAACCAGAAACAAGAGGGATTTGACCCTCTTGGACCTTCACCAAGATAAAAGTATAGCTCTCAGGAGCTGAACTGAAGAATTTTTACATCTTTAGTCTCCTCCCTTTATTTTTATTTTTTAAAAAATCAAGAAAGGATTTATTTCCTGCATATCTTCTAAGGATGCATATTTAACTTAGCAAGGAAGGAATCTGAGGGTCATGGTGGATGGGTCTCTATCACATATGTGGGGACAGATGGTTTTGGGGGTAGAGTTTGGGAGATTCTTTTAAAACTGTGACATGCTTATTTCCCAATGTACATTAAAATTTGTTGTATTTATCCCTTGAAAACAGGAAAAAATGGGCCACTGTTTTTCGGTAATCATAGTGGCAAACGTGAAAGCAACTCTGAAAAGGTGGGGAGAGAAGAGATTACAGGTTCACCCCTTTTAGAAGAAGGTAGAGATCTAAAATTACTGCTGTTAAAAAGGTTGCAAACATTCTCAGCATGCCAAGATGTTCAATTTCCAGCAGTTACCAGATTTTACACGATGCATACCAGTTCTGCCATTACAAGAAAGTGAGTAAACCCATGGTTATGCAGCAGGTCATCCTTTAAAAAAGTTTTATTATATTTGTAATAAGTGAGTATATATATGTTTTATTCTAAATAAATCACTTGGAGTGTGATGTGTGCATATGTGTATGTAAGTCTTCCATCAATTTCTGAAGAACAAACTAGTTTATTCACCTAAAACAGAGGCTCAGTTGCTTCTGGGCAATCAAATGACTCACCTGCCACCTGATCCCAAATCTTCATTCAGAAATCTGGCCATCTGCTCTTGGATAGCTTTTCCCAACCAGACACCCTGTAATTTGCATTAGAATTGTAATCCCTGGAGTCTGCTTGGAAAATATTGCTCTAAGGCATCTGGCTTCCCTCAATGTGGTCTTGGGCTCTACTTGATGTATCTGATCTGGCCATGTGTTGGTCTTGTAACTTTCCCAGAAGATCCTAGAAAAATGCCCTTGATACAGTGCCATTCCCTGCCCATCCAGGTTTCTGCTGCTTGTTAAAACAGAACAGTACAATACTTTTGCATTTTTCGATAGATTACTCCACCAGCCAACCTCACTGTTTCAAGAAGGACAAACACGTTCAGAAATTGTGGCTGACAAAAGTCACACGCGAGCTCTGAATTTGGTTTAGAACCTTCCCCAGAAGTGCAATCAGTATACCAGGAACAGAGAGAGGCTATAAGTGCACGGGGAGAAGAGGTGCCACCCAAAATCATGGCTTGTAAACTTTTCCTTGTACATTTCAAGCACATCTTGCCAATCCCTTCAGGCAGACTACTTACCCTCTTTTGTGTGCTGAACAGAGTTCATTTCTGGGATCCAAGTTGGGGCTATAATCACAGGGTACAGCATGTTCTTTAATCTCATTTCAATACCTGAAGAAAACAAAATCCAATGAGGTCAGTGCAGACATGGCAGCCAACCAGAAGTAGTAAATCTGCCAATGATACAACAGAGCTCTTATATAAAAGACTCCCAGAACAGTAGATCTCATCTCAGTGGTGATGGTAGTCCCTTCCTCCAGAGCCATTCCTGCATGCCTTAAAGGGAAGACATTTGCACTGACTTGTAATGAATGTATAAAGCCAAGAATTTTCCCTTCTGCTTGGCAGTATCAATAAATATGCCTTAATATTCTCTTGCCTGTATTGTTTTCATTCTTTCTGCAGTAACCTATTACAGTATCAAGTATTTTAAAATCTTGTGATTGGGATAAGCACACTGGAGATCTACAGCAGCTATGATTCGTTCATGAAAGTTAACTGGTTTGTCCAGCATTTCCCCTTCCTTTGTGAAGCAAGTGGCTTTCAGACATTCAAAATATTGTATCGCCAAGGGAATGGAGAAAAACTTGTTAATGGGTACCAAAAAGTGCCTGAGAACTTATTTTGAATTTATATGTTGTTTTGAGGCATTCCTACAGAGAAAAAATGGTTCCACCTATGGGATCAAATAAGGTTCCCATGAACATAACAAGAGGCCTGCTGAGAGGACATTTAGTGTCCTTACTCCCAGTATCCAGTATCAAACTGCCTCTAAATTAGATGTAAAGCATAGCCATCATATCGTAGTCATATTCACTAAACAAACTGCATGTCAGTTGGGTTCATACAATTTGTTAAACCATTACAAATGATAGTGGTTGGGTTCCTGTTATGAACCACATTATGGTTTAATATATATGTTACCCCAAGGACACTGCTATTAATTAATTATAAATGTTACTAATTATCTTTTAAAAAATCCTAGGTTAATGGTTATGATATTATGAAGGAAGAAGTAAAATCTTGACTGGTCAGCCAATTATGTACTGCTATGTATATGTTTGAGTACATTTGTTTAACAGGAAACAGACTTGGTCCTCTTACCCACTTCGGTGTTCCCTACTACAAGTTTGGCATCAGGGTGCTGAGCTTTCATAGACACAAGTTCCTTGAGAGTTGATGGTTGCAACCACGTCACTCGCTCGCCTTTGAAACACAGTGGCTCAATAGGCTTTTTCTGTGTCTATAGAGAAAAGGCCAGATTTAGCTTCATGTAATAATAATAATTATTATTATTATTATTACTTATATTTATATCCCACCCTTCTCCTTGCGGACTCAGGGCGGCTAACAACCAGATAAAAGTACAAAATATCAAAACTACAGTTAAAACACAATTAAAAGACAAATATTAATAATTGGTCTAAGTAATTTAAAATTATTTTAAAACCCCCACTAAAAATTTCCCCTAGGCCAGTCCTGCAAGCTGAAATAACCATGTCTTAAGGGCGCGGCGGAAGGAAGGGAGATCAGGGATCACCCTGATCTCTGGGGGTAGTTCATTCCAGAGGGTGGGAGCTCCCACAGAGAAGGCTCTCCCCCTTGGGGTCGCCAGCCAGCACTGTCTGGCCGACGGCACCCTGAGGAGACCCACTCTGTGGGAGCGTACAGGCCGATGGGAGGTAATCTGCGGCAGGAGGCGGTCTCGAAGATATCCAGGTCCGATGCATCACAAATATGGCATCACAAAGCAAGCAATCTCAATTTGGTATGAGGGGGGGGAAGTATTGCATTATAGTTGCAGTTACTATTTCCAGTGAGTGACAGGCTTCAGGATTCTTCTTTTTTTAAAGAAAATTTTTATTGATTTTCTAGTTTAACATTTAAATATTTAAAAAGCAACGTGGCGGCTGAGTTGGTCAATAATTCAATAACATACAAATATCTTTAGTACAGATCTCAAACTATTACATTAAATATTTCCTCTCTTTTCCCCTTGGTATTTACTGTCTCATATTTGAATTAATACAATTCTCATTATATCGATTATATAAAAATAACTTTCTTACATTTATCAATAATTTTTAGTTTATACATATTCTAATTATTTTAACAATCTTTTTAGACAATCAATGTCCTAGTTAGTTTTTTCCCAATGTTTAGTTTCCCATTAATATTTAAATTTAATGTTTAATATTTATAATTTCCAAGTTTTAAATAACTCCAATTCCCTTTATCACAATTCATCACAAGATCTAATGTTCAGGATACGCATCTCATCTATTTGAATTCTCACCATCTTACATCAACTAATTAATAATACAATATAATATTCTTATTTTCTAGTAATTTCCAAATATCTTAAATTTAATAACCAAAATTTCTCTTATTTCAACATTTAATACTTCCTCTCTCTTAATATCTACTATCTCATATTTAAGCTAGTAATTTTTATTATTACCGCTAAGTAAAAACATATTTCATTCATCAATAGATTTTTAGCTTATATATATATCTTAATTACCTTTACATTTAACCTTTATAAGCAAATCAATATTCAAATTTAACTGTTAATATTTATACTTACAAATTTTAAATGACCAAAGTTTTCTTTATCTCAACTCATAACAATATCTAGTATTCAAAGTACACATCTTATCTATTTGAGTATATTCTATTTTAATTTTCACTAATAAGTCAACACCCCAATTTTCTTCAGTCTTATTCTAGCTTTCTTTCTTTGCCAAATTGTCTTCCAACTCCGTGCTTTTGAGTCATCAAATAAATCTCTCTGTGTTGTTATGTATATTGTTTGACGTAGAAAAGACCATCCGGTCGCCATTTTTTTGAGAGGAATAACAAATCATCTGTCTATTTTCCCATCTTGACGTAGTTGTCCTGAACTGTTTATCTTTTATTCAGTCTGTTCTTCTTCCTGATCCTCAGGTTTCTCCTGATTTATGTAGGAAGTCTTTTCCCTTTTCCATATTGTCAGTCCCTTTTCTGGGTTTTCCATTGACTGTATTTGTTGATCAGTTGAATCTTCTGTCATAATATTTAATTGTTCCACTTTTTCTGTTATATTCTGTGTAGTTGATTTTTTTAGTTTTAATCAAGTTTGTGTTTGTATATCTGGGCTGACATCTTGTTCTTTTCTGTAACCTCTTACTTCATCAGTAGCTGTAAGAATAGTTTGATGAATTGCTTTCAACATAAAGAGAATCTGTTCCTGAACTTCATCCATATTCTCTTAGTAGTGTATTAGGTTAAAAGCTTTACAATCAGGGAATGCAAAAAAAAATTTGTCACTGAGTATAGAACACAGCTGGGCTTCTCACAGCTGATATCTCAAAGTTACATATGTCTTATCTATAGTCGGGGCTACTGGCCAAGTCTCTTTTAAGCAATAACAAGTTGTAATATCAGGTTTAGCCATACCATTTAAAGTTTTCTTTTTAGTCCAAAGTTTTTATAATCTTTTCAGTTTTACTTCTTTTTTATAAGTAAAAACCCAGATCTTCAGTAAAAATAGAAAATCTTTTAGTCCACAAACTTTAAAAAATAAAATTCCAATTAGGATCAAGTTGTTCTTGCAACATTTTAAACTCCCATGGATAGTCAGTCGCCGCTGTTCTAAGAGGGAGGGATAAAATCTCCCTTTCCTCTCCACAGGGGGGAAAGTACTTTAAGCAGCTTATGCAGGTAAAAAAGATAGTTAGAATTTAAGAGAGGTAGATCTCACCCAGTCTCATCCACGCTGCTTTATAGTTGCCTGGTGGTAAATGTGACTTCGGCTGTCTGCAGCCTCATGATAAGCCATATTTCTATGGCTGGTCTTTGGTCCGCCAGTTTGGAGGGCTGCCCCGGATCGAGCAGAAGGGCTACCATCCTCCCGCGATCAAGCGGGGATCCCCTTCTTGCTGGTTGCCCCTACAGGGTGACATTCGACCCTTTCCAGGGTCCCCCAGCAAAGCAAAACAATGTGGAAGATGGAGCTCGCCTTCCAAATGTCCATGGCAGCTGCGTCGGCAAACTGGAAGTCGACAGGCTTCAGGGTTCTTTTCAACAAGGAGCAGCATAGGAGTCCTTCTATGAAGTCAATAAATCCTCTCTCATTATCCAGTTGGGTATTTGTAAGTGGGAGGGGCAAGAGGTCTCCGCGATCTATCTGCAACAAAGCTTAAGGCTATATAGCTTGAGAAATACTAGCTTTCGTTTATCAAAGTCCCTTGCCCCTGCTCTCTGGGAAAGCTGCACCAAAGCCTTGTTAGTTGCAGGCTAGTAAGGCGGAAGTGATTAGGCAGAACTTAAAGAAATTGGTTCCAGTGGATTACTCCTTATATTGGCACTGTGGTTAGAATGCATTATTGCAGGCTAGCTTTGCCACAGCCTGGAGCTCAATCCTAATATGGCTCAAGGCTTCCAATCTTCCGAGGTCAGTAAAATGAGGATACTAATTGTTGGGGGCAATATGCTGCATACACATGCACACACACAGACATATATCACAAATAATTTCATAATTTCATAGGGGGTTGGGTAAAGTTAGTCAAAAAAATAAATATGCCATCTACATTTAATAATTAATTTCAAACTATATATAAATAAAATGATAGAACATTGCAACTTTATAAAATAACACCTTTTCATTAGCAAAACAAAATTTAAGCCATGTTTTATTTTGCTTTATTTTGATGGGAAAGATTAGCTTAGTTTTGTGTAGTTTCCAAAATCTAAACTTTATTTTTTAAACAACCATTCACATTTTTCATTCCCTATTTGTTTCAGATAGATATTTGTTCTTTGTAACAGAGCCTATAGAAAATTCTGATTTTGGAACCAACTTATCTAGACAGGGCAGGAGTAAAGTCTGGCAGCAATCTACAATTGTTATATTGGTTTTAAATCCACCTCCTCTCTAATATAAGATTTAATTTGAAAATGTCATAGAATGGGGTTTGAAATCAGTTGTCCGTTCCTTGTCCAAATATGATTCCCTCATCTTCGGATATGGACATATTTTTTATTTAAGGCAGCAGGACTTTTTATTTGTTTGTTTACTTATTTATTTAGCTATTTCTGTGTTGCCACAATTAAAATGATTCCTGATGGATCATATAGAAAAAAATAGTATAAAACAAGTTTCATAAAACAAAATAAAAACAAAAGAACTCTGCAAGAACATAAGAAAATAAAAAGATGGCAACATGAAATCAAAGCAGGGGAAGACTCTCTGAAACAGCTCATTCTTTAAGACCAGCAGAGAAGGAGATTTTATGAACATAATTATATATATATATTGATGCTGCCTTTTTCAAGGTTTTTTTTCTTTTATTATTTTTACTTCCCAATACAGTCTACAATCCCAGGATTCCCTGAAGGTCTCCTGAATACAGCTTCCTTGTCTAAGCAAGATCAGGATACTAAATGCCTGAATACAAAATTCCTGAATTATGGAGCAAATTGCTTGACTAAGGTCACGGGTAGGCAACCTTGGCTCGTTTATGACTTGTGGACTTCAACTCCAGTCCATGAGTCATAAACGAGCCAAGTCCATGAGTCATAAACGAGCCAAGGTTGCCTACCCTTGACTAAGGTGAATAGATAGCTCTGAGGGTAAAAGGAGACAAATATTCATCATCAGCTATTTCCTGTGCAATGGTCAGGACCCAGGCACAATTCAACCCCTGTGCAGGGCCATTATCCTGGACTGAATTTCTGTGATATAACAAGCTACATAAACAGAGGAATTACAAATCTTTTTCAGCAATCAATGTTGCTTAATGCCTTGGGTCATTTGCATTGCTTCTGTATGGAACTGCAAACTGTTAGTGAAAGCATTTCCTATCATATCTGAGAGTATTTACTTAAAGATTAAAGAGTTAAAGAGTGATGAATCAAGGACTCCCGATTTGCATATAGTTGTTGGCCTGGTTTTTTTTTCTTTTTTACATAACCAACCTATTTTGTTTCTTTCTCCTTCTCTCTCTCCAGCTCTATTATAGTTCCTACTTTACCACCGAAATGTGTCAGGAAAAAAAAGCTGCTGACATAACCTACAAGTTAGTCCAGACAGAGTACCTAAGTTTACTCTTTCTTAAAGTGGTGCTCTCCAAATCAGTTGACAGAATCCTAAATAGGCTGGTTTATGAGTACAAATCAACAAGAATAGCAAAATCTTCCATAAAGAAATTCAGTTAGCTTGGCGAGGAAAAGGAAACTCACCAATAACTCAGGTGGGAATATAGGTTCCTGGGTAGGGTCTAAAGGCTGGAACTCAGATGTATTGAACAGAGTTGTGGTAATCAGTCCCTGCAGAAGAAAAGCAATGTATACAGTATATATTAGACCCAGTGGGTTTTTGTTTCGGAGATATTCCTTACCTAAACAGAGAAACAGAATGATCAGGGGCAAAAACGCAGTGGGAGCAGAAGTGACTTCTGACTTCCTGCCAGCGTAAGCACAGCTGACTGCTCTCTAGTGGCCAATGGTGACACCAGTATACCTGGTCTCCAGAGGGCTAGGTTGAGACTGATCTATCTGATCTCCAGTGGCTGAAAGGAGCAGTCGGTCTACCTAGCCTCCAGAAGCCTTGGCTGAGATCGGTCTACCCAAATTCCGGGTGGTGGTGCAGCAGTGTAGCACATATTTGTGACCACAAATTTGCCAAATTTCAATCCCACAGGAGTAATGGGTCCCAGATTTTGGGCACATTCAGTAAACTAGGCCATTTGAGGTACCTTGCGTCAAAATTTGTTGCCCTATGATACATTGTTTCACCTGATTAAAGGTTACAGACACAAGAAAGACAAGGAGAGAAAGAGAAGCAACCTAGAACTAAGGAGAAATTTCTTAATGGTGAGTACAATTAACCAATGGAATGCCTTGCCTTCTGAAGTTGTGGGTGCCCCATCACTGGAGGCTTTTAAGAAGAGACAGGATAGCCACTTGTCTGGAATAGCATAAGTTCTCCTGCTTGAGTAGGCGGTTGGACTAGAAGCCCTCCAAGCTCCCTTCCAACACTGTTATGCTATGTTCTAAAGAGTTTTAGTAGTATAAAATTAAACAGTATAATATATACAGTTTTTCTTGGTTTTGTAATATTGTACTACTAAAGACTATTTTCATGTTTTTTTATTTCTGAATTTGTAAAAAGAAAATTAGTAACAGTAAGCAGGTTCAAGAAGTAACAATATTTATTCAGGTACTACACGACCACATAATTCTTAAGTCAGTTTCCTACTATCCGATGGTTCCTAATTTGTTAAAGCTACAACTTTCAAACTTCCCAAGCAAACAAACTACTAATTATACTCTGTACTTAAGAATTCTGGGAGTTGTAACCCTAATCCATATATAGAACATCCTACTGTGGATAATTTCTCCAACTGTTTATTTCTACCTAAGAAAGTACCAAGAGTAAATATCTTTTTCATTCATAAACTTACAGAATTGCCTTCTTTTTCATTCATGCAACAGTCTAGGTCATTGACTTCTTTATCATTGGACCCTTGAACCTTTTAAAAAGTATAAGACATGATAAAAATAGCAGACATATAAAAAGAGGGAAAATCCAAAACATAATACTTCTTTTTTTAAAAAAAAAAACCTTTTTTTCTTCCTTTTTTCTCTTTTTTCTTTTTTTGTATTTTAATTTGTGTTAAATTTCCCTTGTTCATTTATTTTTTTCCTTGCATTCTTGCTCTTTCTCTCTCAACCACACATACCGTGTTTCCCCGAAAATAAGACACGGTCTTTTTTTTTTTTTTTTTTGCCTCCAAAAGAGGCACCAGGTCTTATTTTGGGGGGTGTCTTTTCCACTCACCTTGCCATGGCAGCACCAACAGCCCCAGTCAGCAAGCCAGCCCACTTTTTCTGCAGCTGAAGGAGCAGCTTCATTCTGCAGCTGAGAATGGAGCTCTGCCCTGCATTTCGCCGTCAGAGGCCTTCTGGAAAGGCCTTTGACTGCAAAATGCAGGCTGGGGGATGCCACAAAAGAAGTGGGCCAGGTAGGTGAGGCAAGTGTTGATCCATGGGAGGCCTGGCTGCAATGGTGTGGGGTGCATGAGGCAGCTCCACCGCCCTACCCCCCCAACTTGATTTTTAGGCATGTCCCTCGCCCAAAACTAGGGCTTATTTTTGTGGTACAGCTTATATTAGGCCCACCCCCAAAAATCAAGCTATGGCTTATTTTGGGGGTAGGTCTTACTTTGGGGAAAACATGGTATGTACACCAAGTACAATACAATAGAGATTTTAATATTAAATAATTTATCTTAAGAGTGAAATCTGCTTTATAACAAATACTTGATGCAAGTTGGATCATGCTTTTTCATTTTTTTTTCTTTTCTAATACTTAGTACTCTTTTCTGTACTTAACTTGGAACGAAAAAGCCAAATAAGATAATGCTTACCACACTGGTATCCTAAATTATAGCTAACATTGATAGAATATCTTTTTTCTTTATTTCCAATTTTCTAAGTTATACAAATAATAGACTGTCTGGAAATTATAATTATATAATTTGCAATTATGTCACACACACACACATACATATCCTTGTACTGAAATAACATAATGCATCAAGATTTATAACATTACAATAAAAAGGAAAAAAGAAAAAAACTATTTAATAATTAAATGAAATATATAATAAAATATTGTCAAAACTCCTTTTCCTTCATGCAGATAAAATTAATTTGTTATTCCTTTCATTTATGAAATATATAACATAAATATAAAGATATCTCGCCTTTTACACAACATGTAATACATATGCACATTTTGTACTGAAAGGTCTCATTCACTTTGATGAAAGAGAATTTTTGTTGAAAGAATTTTTTAAATTTCTTTCAAAATGGAAGAGAATTTCATAAACTTTCTCATGAGTAAAATGTTCTTGCATGATAGTTGAGATATCCAAATACTGAGCGCAAATATATTCTGCTTCTTTTATTTTACAATAATCTCTTCAATGATCTGCAGTCTCTCTGACTTCACACATTGCATTAAACCCAAAGGAAGATCTTACTGGGTCTTCCTACTGGGATTTTCCAGTTAAGCAGTCCCACTGTTGCCATAAAGAGGAAGTCTTGGGTGTTATTGGATGTAATTATAAATCACACTAAGTATGCAGTTCTATGCATGTTCACTCAGCAGTAAATTTTATGGCATAGAGCTTACATTAAAATGAAAAAGGTAAAGATTTCTCCTACCCAGTCATGTCCAACTATAGCACTTTATCCATTTCTTAGCTAAGGCAACCAGCATTGTCCGAAGATATTTCCATGGTCATGTGGCCAGCATGACTATACACCAGGGGTAAGCAACCTTGGCTCTTTTATGACTCGTGGATTTCAACTCCCAGAATTCCTGAGCCAGCATGGCTCAGCTTGGAAACTCTCCCTTTCCCCTCAGCATGGCTGGCTCAGGAATTCTGGGAGTTGAAGTCCACGAGTCATAAAGAGCCATGGTTGCCTATCCCTGCTATACACCAAGGCGCATGGAAGGCTGTTGCCTTCCCACTGAAGTGCTACCTATTTATCTACTTGCATTTGCCTGCTTTCAAACTGCTAAGTGGGCCAGGAGCTGGGGCAGAAATCAGAGCTCACCCTGTTGTGCGGTGCTCAGGGCTCAAACTTGGGCTATCAGCTTTCCAGCTGACAAGCTCAGCATCTTAACCTCTGAACCACTGCACCAAGGTCCCTTCCAATTTTCTTCTTGTTGTTATTGTTGTTGTTGTTGTTGTTGTTGTTGTTACTATTTAGCACCTAATTGTCAGTGCTTTTAACATCTGTTAGGGCAAATCAGAATATGTGTATAAACCTAAAAAGGTTCAGTAGATATTTCTTATTTCCAAATAATCCTGGAATTATAATTATGAGGATACTTAGAAGCTTTAATAGAATTGCCAATATTCTCAAGTTATATTTCTGTGTATTTCATGTGGGAGGGAGATGTGACGTTTAAATTGATTATTTAAAAAAATTAATTCATTGTGGCAAGGGTGATAAATAATCCAATTACAAGAAATTTCATAACATTAAAACAAATATTATTTTATTTCCTTCAGAAATTATTTTAAAAGTTGAGAGGCATATAACTGGTTTATGCCACTTACCACATTTTTTTCTTTTCCAGCCATACAGCAACCTTTTCCAGTGACTAGTTTTCCACAGCATCCTCCTTCCTAGATAGAAATGGGAAAATAAAGAAATACTTCAAATAAACTATGGCATGCATATGAAAGAACATGCAAACATTTGAAGAGTTGTGCTGGATCAGACTCAAGTGTCATGGATAAAAGATAGGATTTGGGCTGAAGACATGGAGCTTTAAGTCTCCATTCAACTGTAGAATGACTTTGAACTAATTATTGTCTTGCACCCTAATCCACTTTCGAGGTAAGAATTAAATCAGGAGAAATACCAATGTAAGTTATCTTGAGTCCTCAGAGAAAAGGCAATTGATATGTGCTCCTCATTTTTATAAATCTTGGAAGAGAAGTGACCAAATTCATTTCCTCAAGGAAAGCATTTCATACGTTGGGAGCCACACAGAAGACCCTCCACCATGTATCAGCCACAGGGATATCTTCAAAAAGGTCTCTCTTGGCAGGCAGGTTGATACTTGGGAAGGCAGTTCCTCAAATAGTCAAGTCCTAAGCAATATTTAACTTGTACCCCACAGACAAGTGGCAATTATTGTAGATTGCTCCACAAGGGCAGGTGATCCCCATACCTTCCATCAGTTAGCAGTCTTCCCACTTATTTTTGCATCAATTGTGATTTCTGAACATTTTTGAGGGGTAACCCCTCACAGAGAGCAAAGCAGTAGCAACAATAAGTTGGAACCAAGATGTGAATAACTGTCACCATATTACAGAAAGAATTGGAGTTGATGTATTAGCTATAGTTGTGCAACCATATGCCTCACTACAAATTTACCACCTGCAAATCTAGGCACAAATGAATGACAAGGACCATTCCCTAAAGGAGAATGCCATCCCAGGCTTTACTGCAACCTCCAAATGCAGTTTGGGTTTGGGGTTTGGGGTTTTTTTTTGTGGGGGGGGTTGTTTGTTTGTTTGGATAATAGCAGTTCTGTCTTGCCTGAGTATAATTTTAGCATGTTCTTTCATTTAGCCCATTTTTCAAACCTCAATAGTGTTCAAGAATATTTTCTTGGAATCGGATGATAATAAGAAACAAAACTGGGTATCACTGGCCTCTAAAATTCAAGATAATTACTCCAGTGATTCTATGGAGACAACATATGGAACAACATTGAAATTGAAAACCAACCTAATAGGCGATAGTGGCAAATTACCTCAGTACTATTGTCAAGAAAACTACATAGACTTGGCTATGAAGTAAACAGAAATTTAGCTGAAGTCAAAGCAGATTGCATCTTCACATTCACTTGGAAAAATCAGTCTGATTTCATCACCAAGATATTTTATCTTTAGCCCCTCACCTTTGCAAATGTTCTGTACCCCTCCAGGATGGGTCTGTATCCTGTACAGCGGCAGAGATTTCCTATGTCGCCAAATCAAGTTGAAAAAGTTAAAAGACATGTAGAACTTAATAGAAAGGTTATTTTAGTTTTTGCTTTTTTTTCTCTACCATGAAGAAATTCTTTTTTCTTTTCTTCCAGGAAAGAAGATGCCAATAGAGAAAAGAATAATTGTCTCTGGGGCTTTGATAACTTTGGAAGGCAAGATTCCAGTCTCAAAAGATGTGACAACAAATTTACCAAGTCATGAGAGATCAATCTAATCATTTTCAAATGTATTTCTTGCTTTATTCCATGATGAAAAAGTGATTGTGCCAATAAAGATGGGAGTTGTGGTCCACTGTGTCTGGCAATCTTACCTTGAAAAGCATCTTCAATTTCTTCCATTCTAGGCTGAGGATGATTACGAAGCAATGTATACATGGACATGACAATGCCAGGAGTGCAGAAACCACACTGTGATCCATGGCTTTTGGCTATTCTCTCCTAGAAGAAGAATTGGTTCATAGAATATGCCATGCCAAATCAATTAATCAACTTGCTTTTAGTGACAGGTGTGAACACGACCAATGTCTGGTCTGGTTCACACATCACATTACATATTAATAGAAGATCTGTGTATTATATAAACTGCCAATTGTTCATACAACAAACTATAGCTTAATTTAATCTGTGAACCTAAACATTTATTAACACATAGTCACATCTCCCCAGGTTACCTGCACAGGGTGCAGCCTTGTCTTGGTGCTTCCGATGCCTTCAACAGTAGTTACAGCTACATGGTGGAGGGCGCAGATAGGGAATAAACATGCATTTGCAGAATAATGCCTGGAGAAATTAATTAAGGAAGTGGCTTGTTTTATAAAATCTTCATTTCCTAAAGACGTACAATAAAATCAACGAAAGCCAATTTCGGGATTAGGCTGTCTCATATTGAAACCGGAACAGAGGTTGATACGTGGGTATCATCCCAATGGATTGGAAGTTGACGCCTCCCATTGGTTATTCTGATTGGGCCTGATGAAAGTTGAAATCCTAGGCAAACATTGGCCAAAAGATGTAGCTTCTGATTACCAGCACCATTATTGGATAAAGATGTGGAAGGCAAATAGGAAAGAGAATAAACTGATATCAAGACGATAATATTACATTCCTTCAGAAGATCATAATTCACTGTCACTCATTGAAATCTGGCAAATATTTACCAGAGCTGAAAAAGTACAGTGATTTTAATAAATATTATGCAATGCTGCAGTAGTAATAAAATATTAGCAGAATTGTTAGACAAAATTTGAATGTTGAAACTTTAAATCCTATTGAACTTCAGGGTTTATGGAATCACAAAACCATAAGGCTGGAAGGGACATTGGAAGTCTTCTAATCCAATCTCTTGCCCAAGATGACCATAATCTAGAGAACAGATTTCCTGAAATTTCACCAGCAACTATCTTCAGAGACACAGACTACAGGAAATTAAGCAGGGATTGACTAGGCTCTAGCTTTATAGTCAGGTGTCCTCACTTCTGATTGGCTTTTAACCAAGCTTGTTTCCAATTGGTGAGGGCTAGTCTCTGATTTGTTCTTTGTTTAAAAAATCGTTGGTTTCATTGTATTTTATGCTATAATAAATCTTAATAATGCTTTTTAAAATATCCTACCCTGGGACATTGGAGTTCTACCAGTTCTAGACATGCCTAATCACTTTATCCACAGCCCACTACACCAGAGGTCCCCAACCTTTTGGGCACCAGGGACCGGTTCTGTGGAGAAAGGTTTTTCCACGGACCAAAGAGGGCATGGTTTTGTGTGCTACCTGCATCCCACGGATGGGGCTTTGCTTGTTTGTGCAGATCGGTTGCTGGCATACTGTGGGCCGATACTGGTCCATAGACCGGGGGTTGGGGAGCCCTGCACTACACAAAGTGTTCGATTTTAACTCTCTTATTTCTCCATTATGTGGACTTGCTGGTTGGAAATTACAGCAGTTGAAATATAGCTGATTAGAAATGTTGGGGAAAGTTAGTCCTACTAATAATCCATACAATTATGGCACAGCAGTATATTCACATAGCTCTGTAACACATATCTGTACAAGGAACAGGAAGCAAAGATTTTGCAAAATATTTAATATTTCTTGTGTTCAATCTTTTCTTGATTTGCAAAGGATTTTCAAGAGGAACAGATGGATTCTGACAAACACATGTTCCCAGATATCCAGCACCTGCTCTGTCTATCATAAATTATATACGCCCACATTCAAGACCTCTTCCATTTTAGTGAATGGGGTACAAAGGATACATGATTTTGTTTCGGAAGTTGTCAAACCTGGAAATCATGACTGTGCAAGCACCACAGCCTCCTTCTCCACAGCCCAGTTTGGTTCCACACAAGCCCACTAAGAGGGTAGAGCTTAAGGAAAACATACCAACATGGCTAATTGCATAGAGTCCTTTATCATTGAAAGTCTCTGGTCCTGGTAACAAGCTTGCATTGCAGCTCCTAAGAGCAGGCTAAAAATCTGGCTAAAAAAAAAAAAGCTATCTGGGTTTATACTACATGTATTCCCTGATGGGAAAACTGATTTTTAAAGTATAGGATTTAATAAATTTGATTAAAAAATCATAGAGTTATTGGACTAAATTGGCTATAGACTCCTGAACTATGTTCACACCACATGCTTAACTTGATGACTGGATTCACAGAATATATCAAATCATAAACTAACCAAAATCATCAAGGCACAAAAACTAATAAAGATTAAAACAAATCATGTCTTTTAATGTATTTATTTATTATATTTAGAAACCACTCATCTCCCTCACAGGGGGACCTTGGCTGGTGTTTTTGCAAGTGATGTGAGTACAGCCTCCAATTATTATCTTACTTGGTTTGTGTGTCAATAATGACACGTGGCCTTCTCATTTCAGTTCTTCAAGCAAATCTTTAAATCAATCAGTTCTGAGCTGCTTTTTGCTAATCAGTGTTTTCTGTTGATGGCTCTTTAAGATTTTATATTGATTTAATATGTTGTGTATAAAACTGCATACAAAGCTGGAAGTCTCATAATATGCCTCTTTTATGGTTTGGTGATTAATATGTCCAACTTCAATTGTGCATATATCCTTAAATACATTTTCCCCTTTTTTAATTGCTGAAAAGGATCAGCTGGTGAAAAAGGAATAATTGATTTACATGCACTAGATATGTATTTTTTTTTTTGTTCTATGCATATGACTAAGGGAAAAAAATCAGATCAGGCATTAATTCTACAGTATAGAAGTCAAGGAATGTGTATATCTACTAAAATATATGATGTTCCACTTGGGAACATTCTTAACAATGTAATTAATACTATGCAATCATTTTTCCATGGCAATGCTACTCAGCTTTTTATGAAAAACAAATAAGCTGGACCCTAATGTATGAACTTTCCCAATTAGTCTGCTCTTCTTTTCTGGTCCCTCTTTTGGCATCTAAGATTGACTATAATATAAGCATTAATATGCTACTTATTTTAAACAAGGGAGAAAACTCCCACTTAGATTTAACCCAAACCAGTAATCCCCTTAAATTAGCTAGCCTGAATTTCTGATAATCAAATTGAACTCCCTGTTTCAGTAACTGCAGGAAAGAAGCACTGAATCTACAACAGAAGCCAGATCCCAGAAATGGCCACAATCTTTAAACGGGTGTGTCAATGGTTCATTTAGGTTCATTCGATCTAGATTTTTGAGCTCCAAAACCACATTTATTGCCTAAGCTAGATTTGTGCAATTTAAATGTAGTTGTTAGTTTGTAGTTTGGCATCATGTGAGCACAGCTAGATTTAACTCATGAGGAAAGTGAAGGTAAAGACATCTTTGTGGCACCTGGCATTTTGTTTTGCAGTTTATTGAAGTCTTATTACCTTCTCTGGGAAATGGATTTTTAGCAAAGGGTATGCCAGTGTCAACAGTCCTTAGGCAAACTCTAGTTGTCTAGCAACAGATTTTGGAGAGAGACCGCTCTCTTCCATACCCTTCAGTAATAGCCAGCTCTAACCATAACATTACAGTTATTGCAACTGGTGATAACTGAGACTATGTAGAAGAATATAGAACTTGATTACAAGGATCAACAGATAAGTGGATGTAAGAGGGTTGGGTGATTGATGGGGCATTGCTTATTGATCTTGAAATCAGACTTCATTAGAAATAAGCCATGCTATTTTCCAACATAAGAATCAATGAATGTAGAAGTAGCTCAGCTTCTTTCCTACTAATCCAATGCAAGGCAGAAGATGAAAGTTGTCCATCTTCTCACACAGAGATTTTACTATCAGTTGTGAATGCGCTTTATGTTTATGTCATTCAGTTTAACTCTGGCAAAACTAGAAATACTGGGAATAACAATTAGCAGTTATAGAATCTTCAGAAATCTTAAAACTTATTCTACTGGACTCTGGCCTGCTCCTGTGTCCTTAGGCCACCTCAAAATATATGGACTATTTTAAATTCCATATGGTGCATGTTTCTTGAGCTCAGATACGTTTCCTTCGAAGGTAGGTTAGCAAAGTAGTTTCTGGATCCACGTTCTTCTCCACTATCTAAAAAAAAACAAAAGAAAAGAAAAATAGTTTCTTAAAAGACATTTAACTATAAATATATATGTATGCTGCAGCTAATTCCAGAAACAAAAGAACTGATATCATCCATCAGCAGCTGATTATATTGTAGGAAGTCAGATCTTTCTACCATTTGTGAGTGAATTTCACAAACCATCCAGTCTCTTTGACTAAGAATCATTTCTTAAAATATCCCTGTTCTTGAGGTAGAATTATTAAGTACTAACCTGATATTTACAATGTAAAACTGCAAGTGGCAATGAGTTTTGGAAGTACTGTATTTTCTGGTGTATAAGACGACTTTCTAAACCCTGAAAATCTTCTCAAAAGTTGGGGGTCGTCTTATACGCCCAGTCATCTTATACGCCGAAAAATACGGGTATTCTATTTTATTCCTTTACACATGTGGTTTGGCATATTACTCATCAAGTTTTCTCTTCCCCCCCCCCTCTCTCGCTCAAACTCTATATTTTAATTGGAAAAGTTGGGGGTCGTCTTATACGCCCAGTCATCTTATACGCCGGAAAATACGGTATTCAGGTTCAAGCCTGATCAATATTGGATGGGAGACACTGGCGTATTGCAAGACAATAGAAAGTCAAAACAAATTATGGAAGATGACAACAATCAACCTCTTTTGTATTGTTGCCAAGCAAGTGTTTTGGATGTGTTTATGCAGTCACAAGGAGTTAAGCTCAGTTCAAGATGCATTTACTTTTTTCACAGTTTTCAAACAGGGTTTTGGTGCCTTTAATTATTCATTTTTAAAAAACTCATTTGTTTACTGGTTTTGATTTAAATGTTAATAGTCATACTTTTCAGTAGAAAGAATAATAATGATTTCAGTTTAAATAAATGGGCAATATTCTTACTGAACTTGTAGAATAAAAATCAACTAAGATTAACAAAAAAAAACTTGTGCTAAACACCTCCTGTCATGTACTGAGGGCCAGAAGTATCACTGGCAATCACAAATTAAGTATACTTTGTCTCCTTGGTCCAACATAGTGGACTAGGTGCTCTGTGTACCAAAACATAGGTTTTCAGTCACAAGCATTCAGAGTGTATCAAGATCAGGATGTCAGTATCTCTTCTGCCAACAATAACATACTTTCCTTCCTAATTGCAGTACAAGACTGGTAGACACTGAGTCGGGTTGTTCATTTACTCTTCAAGGTAGATTTTATGGCACAGTTACAGTGAACTCCTAATTTCTTGGCTTGGCTTGCCACACTATCCTTGCTCTATCTTTAAGCTAGATTTTTTATTTATTTATCAGCATTTCTCTGTAATGGTACTTCTTGTTGATTCTTGAATGCTTCCAATGTTTTTCTCTGGAAACTATTAAGTATCTACAGTGCCTAATTTTGCATAATATGCAAAAATTAACTGTAGTTAATCAGCTTATATTTCAGTAGATTGTGTGAACCCAGACAGATTGATAACCATTGCATGGTTAAATAAACTCTTCTTTACTTATCTAGCTTTCTAGGATGGTACAGCAGTAAATTAAAATACAATAACCCTAAAGATTGGGTATAATAGGCAAAAATGTGAGCTATAATTTGGACCATTTGAGCAGTTTCTAGGTGCTGGGCCTCTAATGTTACTGACTAAACATGTAGCTTTTCTGCCTTAGTTTCTTTAAGTGATTTGTGATTTATAGGGGATGAGATCTCGAGCAGGAGAAAATTTTCACCTTCTGAATTCTAGCCAATTTAGTTTTAATTATTAACACTAAAGTTTATCTCTAACTTTCCAGATTAGAATCAATTATAACATTGCTTTTCAGTTGAAAACTTTGATCTCGGGGTCAAAAACCTAAAAACGTATACTTGTTTCTCTTTCCGATTGAATTACTTTTGTTACTAACAGATTATTTCAGCCCATTTCTTATGTTTGTGTAGATTGAAGGAGGTCATTGTGTGCTTTAAGTTGTGGTGGTGATGATGCTGTAACACAAACTAAGTGTTAAAATTCATTTTGCCTAGACTTGCAAGAATTTTAGGATAGGTAAATGCACATTTCTTGGCATAATTTGGTTTACTGTCATAAAATGTGGCAGTTAGTTAAGACAGCTTCTGTAAAGGAGAGTGAGGAAATTGATACTGACTTTACAGAACCATAATATTTGGTAGCAGGGTGCTTACTCAATAATAATTGCTGGGGAGGCACAGACAGTCTGTGGAAACCAAATGCTGGATAGCATAAATCTTTGGGATGATCCAGCAAGACTCACTATAATATATGTTAAACAACAAATCATAATTTCAAAGTCTATTTCCTCCTGCATGTTCCATTGTTATCATTTTTATGGGAAATACTTGTCACCTAAGAACTGAATCAGGACTAAGCTACATTTCTAACACAAAAAAAAACCTTGTTGCTATTGCCATTGATTTAATGAGAGATCAATTTTCCATCAAGACTATCAGATGGAAGAAAAAACGTTTGCCCCCTGAACCCCACAACTTCCCAAATCTAATTCCTTCCACATATGCAGGACCTGCAACTCCCATAATTTCTAGCCAGCATTTATAGAGCACCTGTTTTGGGAAAGATGATTTAATGCATATCTACTCAAATGAAGTCAAACCATTCATGTAGATACATCACTGGGACATTAAGTGTATAAGGAGTGGTAAAATAAATGCATATGGCCCTCCTTTGATTGAAGTAGTTATGTTTCTTTTTATATCCCCTTATTACAAAATCAATATTAATCAAACATTTCCCGGTCAAGTACAAGTGACGGTCATGCTATAATGAAAGGGAAAATTAGTATGATTTTGGCTGTTGGTTTGAGAAGTTAGGTGCTTAATGAATTTCAAATGATAAATATTAATTTTGGCTTGTTTTTCTACACCTTATCAAATTCTCCCTATCACTCATCATTGTAGCCTTGAAGTCACATGCAGCAAACTATACCAATTATTCACAATGCCAGACTGCCAGAAATAGAGACAAGGTAACCTTTCTCATCAACTGCAATATGTTGCAGTTCTGTCCTAAGCTCTTGGTCAATACATTCCCAGAGTTTGCTGAAATGCTCTACTTTGTGCTTCTTCTTCGGGTAGCATTTCATCATCTTTCCATGCTGCAGCGGTTTTGAAGGATCTGAACAAACTTGCACAACAAAGCCTGCTTACGTCAAGGTGACTATCACAGAACTCATGCATCTTTTAGTCACAGTGTGGACTCGTTTTATGAAACAAGCAATCCAAATTATTTGCCAACCCTTTCCCGAGGTTAAGCTGCTAAATCAATACTGGCACCATTTCAGAGGATTTTTGACTCATGGAAGAGACATAGCTGATGTAAAACATACTATATGAGGGGAGATGATTAGAAAGGGTTTCAGTTAATGTTTAGATCTGTAAAAGCCTGGAACAAACACTTTTGCACATTTTGTATCATGAGTTGTTAACTTGTCATCAAATAACAGGGATTTGGAGTCAGTCAACCTCCACCCCAGCCTCAGTGTGGTTTTCAGTTGGCCACTCTCTAAAGAAGATATTCATTGTGAATACTACCAGAATTGTTTACAGAAAGAGGAAGGCTCTAGAAGTATCTAGATGAGTTGCATGCTTGTAACTATCAATATATTGCCTATTCTGTTTGATCTGGTAGCAGCTCTTGAAGAATTCAAAAGTGGGAAGATCTTTTTTCAGATGTCTGGTAAGCTTTTTTAGTTAAAGATCTATGGATTGAGCAGGTCTTTTCTACATGCAAAACATACAGTATTCTGTTGAGCAACGATCTATTGGGGTAGGGCAAAAAGATGCAGGAACAACACTTCACTTTTCTCTTTATTTCAAGGGTGCTCATAGTTAGCAAAAGAAAAGGGAAAAGAAAGGACCTCTGTTGGGATAAACCCTAGAGAGATTTAAAGAAGCTGTGATGATTGTGTCATTCTGCTCTCCTGTTTAATTAAGCATGAGCAAAACCAATATTCTCCTCTGACTGCAGATTGATACAGGTACAGATTGAAAGCTACAAACCACAGTGTTTTCAAGGAAGTAAGAACAGTGACTTTGTATACAGTTTGTTGTTGCAACCTACCTAATCTCCACCCTGGCTGTCCCCCATTCGTTACCTCTGTACGACAGCCCTCTGGTAGAGCAATTGCTGAGGGTATCTTTTTAAGACAAGCTTCAGTCAGATGCTCAGCCATAAAAACAGAATTTGGCCATGCTGTATGAGATTAATCTAAGCTATTTATAATGGAATTAAAAGGGAGGTGCCAATTTGTTTCAATTCATGAACTACATCCTGGCAGCAGGAACAAATTCTATGCAGAGTCTGGCAGTGAAATTTTCTGGAGCAAACCAGTACATTGCCATACAGTATCTTTTTCTCTGAAATTCATCAGAGATGGAATGATCTACCTGTTCCAGCATGGAGCCCATCTGTTATTGGTAATTGCTAACATTTAATCTCACTGTCAAATAAAAATATAGGGGTCTGGGAGGGGGAAATAGGGCTTGCTTTTTTAAATCAGTTCATGGATATTAATATGCTAACTGAAAAGCAACCAAAGTTGGGATCAGGAAAAGTTCAAGGCAATCAAGAATATGTACATTATTTGATTACATACTTTACTATGGAGCATAGGAGATTGCATTACTTTGTCTTACATTGTCTTACTTTGGTAGTTTTCTGCAGTTCTCTTTAATTCAGCTTTATTAGGGTTTATTGAGCATTTGCTCAGCACTAACTTATGAATGACACTTTTATAAAAGTGACGTCCCTGCCTTAAGATCTTTTTCAATGCAAAAGTGAAACAGAAACACCCTGAAAAATGCTATGCTTTTTCCTCCTTTTTTGATTCAAAGAAGCATTGGATCCATTAAACAGCTTAATTTGTTTTCTAAAATAACCACCCCCCACCCCCAATTGCCATAATGACAGCTATTCATCAGCTATCACTGTTTCTTCATTCATCTACCATTTATTGAATAGATCAGTAAATATCTTAAAGAGATATCTTAAATCCAGTACTCCTTCTTTGAGAAATGCTTTTGCCATCTGCTAAAGAGGGAGAAGAGCCATGGGAATAATCCATGAACTAAGATGCAAGAAGAAATGTTATAAAAAAAAGCCACGGGTTCTCTCCTACCTTCTTGCCATTTACAAAGAAGACCAGTTCATTGTTTTCTGGGGCCATTTTGCGCATCTTCTGAATGGAAAATAGGAATAAGTTCCTGGATCACACTCTCTAAAGTTGCCCAGCACAGCTGCAGTCTGTCCCAGAAATATCAAAACAGGCAATGTGAGAAGTTCTTTGATCTTATATTGCAACACTAGAAGAGTCCAAGTTATAAAAGAACCGCCCAGAGGTGTGTCAGCTACACTTGGTTGGGACTTCCTGCTCTAAAGACAGTAGAGGAAAAACAGAAAAAAAGTACTCTCCACCCCTTTTTGTGCCATGAAATTCAATGCAATCTTCTATAAATCGGGCAGGCAAACTTTGGCAGGAGAACAAGATTGCTCAAAATTACGTCTGTTCTTTCATGTTCTACCACTTGTGAATATCTTTGGCATAACTGATTCTAGAGTAGTGGTTCTTCAACTATTTGGCCCCAATTACTCCCTTCCCCAGTCTTGAATAATGTCATTACACACAGAAAAAAAGCCCAGATTCTGTTATTTCACTTAGCTGCAGTCCCAAACTGGATTCTTGACACACAAACAAGCAATTTCAAATTGCTCCATTTGATATGTTCAAATTACCTGTTGGGGTAATTAATCCCAATTTAGAGCCAATGTTGTAGAGTAGTATTATATCATCATAACTTACAGTAACTTTGTAACAACTTTCTTTCTTAAAAGCTGCTCATACCTGACAAATCGATGCTTATAGACTGTATACTTAGAATGTAATTTAAAACACAAATAGACTAATCCAACTGATTTTATAATTCTCAAATCCTTGCAATTATAATATGTTAGTCAAAAAGAAGTGAGTGCATTCATCTTGGGCAATTATGCTTTTGCAGGACTCACACCGGAGCCCATCCTCAGAGAATTTCTGTTCAGCAGAATGTGTTTCTCTCTAGCAGAATTTTGCTTTTATTAGATGACCCTTAATTGTGATAGGAACTACTGTCCAGTAGTTCTCTTGTGCAAAAATAATTCCTCAATCAACTTACATCCATCTTGAGTGCTTTCCTTCCATACCTGTCAAAAAAACCCCAGCTTTAGCATCTATTACTAAATTTTGAAGATATTAGCATTAAGAGATCAGCATCAAATCAAGCATGACCTAACTGTAATTTATTTATATTCGCCACCTTTTTTAAAATAAAATATAAGTATACCTGTAAGAAAAATCCTATTTAAACTGATGATCAGTGTAACACTTCCCGAGGATCTTATGATAACCCCCCTGCAATTCTTAGGCTTACTAATAGTCCTTCATTTTTAAAAGCAGCATTATGCTATACATAGCTACATTCCTCAGCTTTTACTAGAATGATTTGAAACATGCGTATACATGCATTTAATGCATATTTAAATTAATGTTTGTGCATATGAAGAATTAGACCTTTGTTATCACGGATGCATTTCATTTGATGAAGTAATATTCCAAAACTCAAATATACCCAAAATCCACATGCAATTGCATTGATAATTCTGAAACAATTGATTAAGCAAGCTGAAAGTTGATATTATCTATGTTCATAGCAACTTGGTTGGGTTTCCAATACCATGCTTCTTAGTATTTCTAATAAAGTATAGCATAGCTCAGCAAAATATAAACACTGAAATATTTGTGGTGTCACACAAACTTTAATCATATTTCAACAATATTATAGGCCATGTTTTTAAAGGCACACAATGCAGCAATCTCAAATTTATCAGGCTTGGGTATGTTTACTACTTGGATGATGGATTGCCTGACACCCTGTTGACAACCTTGAGATTGGTGGAAGAAAGCTAAAGAGATTAAAAATACTTAAACATTTACTCAGTCTACTTATGAAAGGGAAAGTAGAACATTACCTCATCTGAACTTCCTGCTAACCCACTGTGTAGCCCAAAATCACTATAGCCAAATAGCCTCTATATTCTTTATCCCTGCCTTTCTAATGATCCAAACAATATAAATTCAAGTATAGAGTACATGTTCTGCAAGCCAAATATCTCGGTTTCATCCTTGGTATTTTCAGTCTATGCATCTCAGACTGAAGAACAGAAAGCACATCCAGTTTGCACCACTTTGGCAGAACTGGTAGTTAATTTTTTGATGCCCAGGCCCAGAACAGACTTCCAGAAGCGGCATCCACAGAGAACCGGTTGTTCACATATTTGAATCCCACCACTGAAACAGGAAACACAGTGACAAGCATTATCCACTAGACATGGATTAATGAACTGACTTAGATGACAATTTAATATTCTTAAAACTTTTCCTTCTTGGCTGGCCAGATAAGAACATGAGCTTAAACCTGCTGCTTAAACCTGGTCATTATATGTGTAAGAAATGAAGAATAGAACTGAGGCTGTAAGGCCAATAACTACTATAAAAAAATAAGACTCTATATATTATGGATAAATAAAGCATTAAAAATGAGAATTGGTTTAGGTTTGTTAATGACTTTGATAATAAAACTCCCTAAAATGAGGCAAATTCATAAAACTATCAATCAAATTAGACATTAGAGCTTTTGTTTAGCAAATAAACCAGTGAAAGAATCCAGGGTTCATTTGAGGGGAGAAGACTTTGCATTTTTAAAAAGATTAAGGCTTAGAATGATCTGAGACTTGCAATATATACCGGGGGAAAAACCCCAACCCCACAGTGTTTTAAGATAGGTGCAGAACAAGAAGAATGTCAATGAAGTGGTCCCTTTGCTCCTTAGAGAAGACAACTAGATCATGACAAGGAACAGGGAGAGAGTTGAACTAGTTAATTCCTATTTTGCTTCTGACTTTTTGCAGAAAAAAAAAATGTGCTCCAACCTGTCAGAACTGGGGACTGAAGAGAAATGTAAGTCAAAATAGGCATAGAAGTGGTGAGAGAGCCCTTACTTGCTTTGAAAAAAATCAAGTCGTTGAGACTGGGTGGATTATCTCCCCGGGTGCTACAGTAACTGGCAGATGTGATCACAGAACTATTTATTATCATCTTTGAAAACTTATGAAACAGAGGAGAAGTAACAAAAGGATAGACAAGAGGTAGTCTTGTACCAATTTTTAGAAAAAAAAGGGGGGGAGGGGAGAAGCTAAATACCAATCAACTTGACATTTACTGTATACCTAGAAAAATCCTAGAAAAAATAACCACACAGCAAGTTTGCACATATTTAGAAAGAAACAAGTCAATTGCTAGGAGCCGGCATGGTTGTGTTAAAAATAGTTCATGCCAGAAAAATCTTGGGGGGTTGGGAGGGGGGAGGGAATCAAAGAGACTAAATTATTCCACCAAAGGAATGCTGTCAATATGACCTTCAGTAAGGCCAGAACCACCTCCTTGATAAAATGAAACAGTGGAGGATAGATTACCCAACTACCAGGTGGATTTGCATTTGACTGAGCCGCATACCAAATGTGTATTCCTTAATAAACCTATGTCTGCCTGGAAGAAAGCCAGCATATGGTTTTATCCTCTGCTCACTGATCTTCAAGACTTTAGAATTACTTAGGCAAAGAGATAGAAGGGTTGTTTATCAAATCTGCAGATGACACAAAACTGAGAGGGAGGGATTGCTACTACTTTAGAAAAGAGGCTCAAGGTTGGCTTCTGGCATGAGGAATGGCTGGATGGAAACATCTCCATGAATGAGCAGAGACAATGACTGCTGTGAAAATGAAAAACCAGTGAGTAGAATAAGTCTGATCCTTAACATGGATCATTTAAATTTCTCTGATCATTTATTTGTCTCAGTAGTTAGCAGCATATGACTGACTTTGAGTTTGGAAGCTAAGCAGAGTTTGGCCTAGTTGGCATTTAGATGGAGACTGGACGTCCAAATGAGTATTTCAAAATTATAGAAAGTGAGGTAGTAGAAGTGAGTAGAAAGATGAGGCATTCATCTA